TATATATATATATATATATATATATATATATATATATATATATATGATGTAATTAATAGTAACCATAGAGACCCCTGTACTCCTTCCGATTGAACAAACCATGCTTGATCCTTACCTCATCTACCAAAAAGTGTAAGTGTAAGAGTAATTTGGTATACCACTATACTACCATCCGAACCCATTGCGTACAGATAGTATGGGATTCAACAAGCATGTGCTTTGCATATTACCCACAATACAAATTTGAATTTTATATTGTACTTTGGCGGTCGGGCGATATATTGGTCACCCTCACACGATCTAATAGATCGTGTGTTCGAATCGCATCACCACCGCTGTATAATGCTGTTTCTTTTTATGTTTATCATGCTAATCTGTGAATATANGCTAATCTGTGAATATATACTTTTACCCTGCTCTTAAAATTGATTGTATAATCGTTTAGTTAGTTAGTTAGTAAGAGAAAAGTGGATTATTATGTTTATTGTTATTATCAACGCGCTACACGTTCACTACTCCAATTCTAACCTCTGAGATCTAGGTCATTATATCACTTCCAACCACTCCGGTATCTCACCCGTTTAAGCTGGGAGGAGTGGAAGGGTGTATGTTAAAACGTTATTAGAATAAAACGAAAGTCGATGAAACTGTTTTGATCAACAACAACAACTGAAGCTCCTGATTAAGAGGGTATTTTGCATCGATTAGATGAGTCGTTCCATTTTCATTCACAGAACTGCTTGATTCCATCGGATTCTGGCCTGCCGGAATCCCATGACTCGTGGAGTGATCGATTTCTGTACTATGATTGCTCCATAATGCCATAGTTCGACTGAGATGTGGATGTTGAATCCGGTGTCTTTTTCAGTCCATGGATAGGGCGAGTATCCTTTCGCAGCCAAATGTTGAATCATCTGTTCGGTACGTCGCAGAATCTCTCCAGATAGGATCGGGTACAACCGTGACAGCAGCATTGCGTGACCACATCGTTCGGTCTGAATAGGATATAGATTGAACAGAGTCGCGTCTGACGCGAGCTTCTTTCCATCGGACCGAGTTCCACTGAATTAAAAGGGTACAGTGTGAACGTCATCAAAATATTCACTCTGGGGCCAATGCGCAATGGTAATGATGTTACGAAATACAAATGGATCGAAATGTGTTCGGTTCATACCGAAATGGTGTGTTGAAGTCTGTAGTCCACTTCACGTGTGACCGCCAGTCGTGAATTTTGTTCAATTGTTCGGATTCATAACACCAATGTGGGCACGTTCGGAGACCTCAGAAGTACTCCGAAGCTCATTTCGATATCAACACAACCACGGTGAACGCAATGCTATTGAACGCACCCTGCTTATTTGCAATATCTGGTTATTCAAAGCTACCCAAATTAACCCAATTCGGTATGGTGATCATGATATAACTCATTATCGCATAGAGAAACTGAATTGAATTATCCTAGAAAATGTGCCCCTTTGGGTGCGAATTGCTGTTTACCTCAATCCGAGTGTTGTCATCCAAATACATTTCGTTTCTCTCAAAGTTAGTTTTATGAGTTAGTCATGACTACAGCGGCTGGGGTAAGGGTAAGCGTTGTCCAGTTATACAATGTTAAACAATATTCACGTCACGCACGGTAGATGAACGACGATCAACAAGGTCATCCATCATGATTGTTAAGTCAGTCGTCAAAACAGAGGAATGACATGGTAGTTGGCAAATACTAACTTGCAAAAACCCAGGCACCAGTAGTCTCAGCACTGCTGGGAAGATTCATTGATCACCTCGGTTTGTTACTAGATTTTTCACCGACTCTTATCGATGAAACTCGAAGTATAGATGTGGAATAAAACGGAAGATCACTTTCAGAGGACAGACCTAATGAGCTACTTCAAATCAGGTTCCAACCGCCTCCAAGGTACACTGATCATTAGACTTGGATGTGTGTGCGAAGCGCATACCGCAAATAGTATGAGTTGGACTCATGTACGACTGATAGATTCTGTGTAAGATGAAAGGTGGCCTTCAATCATCAATCCTCCGGTGGGGGTTCTGTGGTGCAATTTTGCGGATACACAGTTTCAGTTGGCAGTTTTCGAAGCTCAGGCAGTTGAATCTCAGGTCAAAAGCTTCAGTGAGTTACTTCTCATTGGGATTAGAGAAAATTCATTAAAGGTCATGATTTTCCTAACCGATAATGTCTCTGCCACCTCGCGAGCTGCATGCTTGCAGTACCGATACCTAGAGACCATGAATTGATCAACTCACAATGCGAATTCGAATCCCATTTTGAATGTGTGCAGGGTCTGTTGAAGAGGCGGAGTCATAAGCCCGGAAAAACATTCCACACTTTACACAAATTGAAGAAACTAATCCTTCATGGCTGAAACTATTTCGAAGTTCAAATAATCCTGAACTTCAGTGATCAACTGATGAAGATCGTCAAGTTATCACACAGAAGGACATGTGTTCGAATCCCACGACTTCCGCTTGACTGTCGTTTTGTGTGTTCTATGGTCAATTTCACGTTCCTGAAAATTGTATCTTGTATATGATAAAAGAAAATGCAATAAAAAGATAATTAAGATCAATGAGACCACCTTAATGCTGCTCGAGACCGACCAGTTTGGGTCTGCATGTTTTAAATACACATCGGCAACTGATTACGTTTCTCGTCCTCAGGGGCCTTCGTTGCAAGTTACAGGTTTTTATCTGTCCTAATGGTTTGCTTCCTTGACTTAGAGACTATTTCTGTACTGCGTGATTAACACAAGAACGTTGGCAGATCCACAACTAAACAACTGTGGAGTTCTCCCAGGAGCACTACATTCTCTTCCTAATAACCAATTTTTATAATCATTTCGTTGTGGTTATTCCTTCTCCTGTTCGCCCTCTCACTTTGCCGATGAAACGTCTTTATCTCCTGATACAGTATCCTTGACACTTTCCAGGACAGATGCCAAACCACTGCTGGGTTTCAACTTAGAAAGCATCTGATTTGGGACCTGAATACACTGGAACAATGGTTTGCAAACTCTTTCGGTGGTTCTTTCGAACACGTAAATTAAGGTAGCTTTGCACAGATCAATCGGTTTTACTTTCGTTTTTTGTTTCAATTATTATCAATTAATGACTTGGTCTTTACTCCCAGATTTATTCAAGAATTGCTTTTATTCAACCACCTTTGG